AGCTACTTCAGGCCCAACGTGGGCAAGACCACAGGGATAACCAGAAGTACAAGGGACAGATCAGTCGACTTAAGTCGAACTGGGATGTCAACAGCAAGCAGGTCGAGTTTATCAACAACCACGACCTCGACCTTAATGCGTTTACGGTCATGCTGGAGACGAATGATGTCGCTCCCCAGCAATGGATTTTTGCTTTAATGCAGTCGTTTGACCCTATAGGAACAAGTTACTTGATCCTGCAGCGACACCAGCATGAGCTAGACACTTGTCGTGACTGGCCAGCTGTATGTTGGTTGGTTACGTCCTAATTAAGCAAGGACATGCGAAGTCCAGGACTGAGTTCAATCTTATCTGAACCATTTGAGAATACACCTATTCAGAGTTATATTCTGAAACTTGATGCTGACCTTAAACGTCCAGATATAACAAAGGACAAGACGCTGCGATGGTACGAGTTCCTGGTTATGCATGTGTTCTGTAAGAACATAGGGAACAACGACCGTGAAAGTCTGTACACCGAGTTACGACGTATATACTCTACTGAGGCTCGAGACAAGGGACATGAATCAAAGTTTCATCATCCCGACTTACGTTGGAACAGTTTTATGATACTGTATCCACCCTTTTCCCCGCACGCCGAGTAACCTCGAAGGGAAAGGCGGTAAATAAGAAACCGCGCGAGCTCACTGATCAAGAATACCTCTCACGCTAGACTTCAGATGATAAACCTCGTCAGACGCGTCCTAATCAGACACGTGCTTGCGACTCCACTCAATCCACGCGACCCAATAAACGGGCACGCGCGGAGGCGAAGGACAATGAACCTCCATTTAAGGATATTAAGAAATGTGCCGACGCACAGTGCGGGTATGACATGTACCAATTGACCCCTAACGGTTATTGGAATGGCAGACATGCACCCGCCTGTATACCCTTTCTTACTAAGTGTGACAAGTGTGAGAAGACTAATGGCTATCACGCCAAGTCTTGCGACATAAAGCCCGACATTAAGTTGGAGTGAATGTACTACCAGGTACAATCGTTACAAAGAAAATACAACGACTCTTTAGACGAGCGTGTAATAATACCTGTATATTGCAATGTAAATAAAGTCCTTGCATTGATTGATCCTTGTTCAGAAATTTCAAGCATATCCGACCGCTTTGCATTAATGAAAGACATTGAAAGGCGCACTCAAACTACTCACCTAATCTTAGCAGATGACAAAACTTCTAAGTGTGATACCATGGCCACATATGTTGAAATCTCCCTGGCCGATGATAGAAATATCACTACCCAAGCTGTGATAGTTAAGATGTCACAGAAGTTCGACTTAGTAGTCGAAATGAGTGACTTACTCACTCTAGGTATAACCGCAACTGGTTTACCAAATAACATAGATCCATTAAAGGATCAATCAGACGATAACTGTCTGAAACCATATAAGCCCCCGTCAGACACAGTCAAGGCATTAATACCTGACTTTGCGGACAAAATCATGGATCTGATTCTAGTAAATAAGAAGATAAAGATCACAGATTGGGCAAAATTCCGTTTTAACGACGGATATGTCAGCCTTGACTTAATCAAGGTAGACTTTACTAAGCTCAAATGCCCTTCAAGAAACTATGTTTCTTGGAGACACGAAGCTGTAGTTGAAGAACAAGTTGAGAAATGGTTATCCGATGGGGTAATCGAAATCAATTCCCAACAAACGCCAGTTAACTTAGCAGTATTGGCAGTTGATCAACACAACTCTGACGGAACATTTAAGAAAGTCAGAGTATGTCTAGATACGAGTCCAATAAATAAGTTATTGCCGACTCATAGTTTCCATCTCTCTCGTAGAAACGAGTTACTGAGACGAATGGAAGGTGCTACGGTGTTTACATCCATAGACCTAACACAGGGGTATCATCAAATGCAAATTTATGAACCCCATCGTAAATACTTTAGTTTTACCTGGAAAGGAAAACAATACAGGTTCAGAGGTGCACTTTTCGGGTTGCACTCCTTACCAGCATTCTTCCAACAAGTAATGGAGGAAATGTTTGCAGACATGCCTAATGTGCAAGTCTATATAGATGACATATTCACCTTTTCTAAGACTAAGGGCGAACTTGCCGCACTAGTCAGGCGAGTCCTTCAGAGACTCAACGAACAAAACTTTAAGATTAACGAGACGAAATGTCACTTCGCCATGAGCGAAATACAGCTCTTAGGCTACCGTATATCTGGGGAAGGTATTAAAATCGACCCCGGTAAGGCGGAACACCTGTTATATTGGCGAACACCAACTACAGGAAGAGATGTGAACAGCATGTGTGGGTTTGATAAACTTCTTTTGGCTGATTATCTTAAACCCTTTGGACACTTAAGATGTAATAAAGGCAAACTAGGAGACTTGTGGACTAAAGAGTGTGATGACGCATTTAAAGCGCTCTAGCACGCAGTCCAACAAGCCCCTGTTGTACAAGAACCAGTCGATGGCGTGCCTTTTGAAATAGCAACGGAAGCATCAGACTTAGCACTCGGAGGTGTACTATACCAGGTTATAGATAATAAACCTAGGTATATACAATTCTTTAGCGGAGCAATGAATATATCACAGTTGAATTATCCAACTGTGAAGCAAGAGCTATTAGCCATAGTAGCAGCTTTAACACACTTCCGCGATTACTTATACGGAACAGCTTTTACGCTGATGTGTGATCACAAGTCCCTTCAAATATGAAGGAAATGAAACCAGACTCTCAATTACTGAGCCGATGGCATGATACACTATCAAAGTTTCATTTTGATATTAAACATCTACCAGGGATACATAACTTTTTACCGGATATGCTATCACGCTTTGTACCTGACTTTAATAAATCCGTACGTGGGTTACTAGCCATTGATTGGAAATGTAACCCCAGGTGGTTTGAACTGGCTCAAAAGATATTTCGGCCACATACAGTTGACATGTTTGCTGCACATCATAATGCACAACTTAAGAATCACAGGACTTGAAATCATCCTTTAGGAGATGCCTTTCAACTAGACCTCCCCGAACATAATGTAGATGCGGCTCGCTGTACACTCCCGGGTAGTGAAGTGACACTTTCTATACCTCGAGATAAATGTTTGAGCTTACGTCGGCAGACAAAGACCTTTGTATCTGACGAGTACAAACCACATGTAACGAAACAAGTGCACGAATGAGAACTTGAATTGGTTCCCAACCGTCAACATCTGCGTCGACTTTTAGTCTCCCATTGTTGGCGGTACCATCCTTCACACCGTCGGGAGAACTCAACAAATTGAGGGTATGCTTGGACCCTCGGCAGCTTAACGATCGTATTCCGGGTGATCAGTTTACGCTTCCGAAGGTTACCGAGATCATCAGCAATTTGAGGTGCAAGCGCTACTATACTACGTTACCTTTTATCGGCCGCATACCGTCGTTTACTGGTGCACGTAGATTCACAGCAGGATAGTCAGCAATACTCCTTAACGTCGGCACCATTTGGGTTGACAACACTCACGTCACAATTTCAACGCACAATCAGCAATCTGATGGCGAGACTAGACGTGCAGTGCTATGTCGATGATCTGATAAATGCGTCGGACAACTACGAGGAGCACATGGATACGGTTCAAGAGGTCATTCGACGCTTGACAGAGAACAATTTTAAACTTAATCAGAAGAAATATCACTTTGCTGTGCGAGAGGTGATGGTCCTAGGAAAATAGATATCTGCTAAAGGCATTGACGTGGATCATGAAAAACAGCAACGGTTAATTGACTGGCCAATTCCACAGTGCCAAAGGGATATCGCTTCTGCGTTAGGATTGGCAAACTTCTTACATGAGCCTTTACCTAACTTTGAACATAAAGTGGCTCAACTACGAACGTTTTCTAAGCTCAAGCCAAAGGAGTCCATTGGGGATCGTTGGAAACCAGAACATCAATTGGCGTGGGATCAGATGAAGGAGGCTATCGTGTCCATACCATATGTTCATACATTATAACATACATACGTTGTAACATTTTTTGTTGTTGAAATAAATAATATTATCCCTATCGTGTCGGCAGTCCGATTGAACTTTCCGGTTGATGGTATACCGCTTGAATTAGAAACGGACGCAAGTGATTATGGTATTGGTGGAGCATTGTTTCAACTGATTGACAGACGAAAACATTACCTGAGGTTCCTATCACTGACTCGCAACAAGGCACAACAGACACATGTAATCCTGATGAAAAAGCTATTAGCACTTACCTATGCTCTGGTCCACTTTCATGACCATCTCATCAGGCAGCGCTTTACGGTGCACACAGATCATAAGGCTCTCATATACATGAACACTCAGCTGAAAGCATCACATTATTGCACAGTTCAGTTCAGTTCAATTATTACACATGTACCTGGAGTACTGAACAAGTTACCATACATGTGGAGTCGTGTCCATGAGGGCACGTCGGATACCAACTACCCAACGGTGTTCTATACATCATGTTGGAAGTTGTATTCGAATTTCTTTGACCAGGTCCAGAAATATTTTGGCCCTAACGACGTCGACGCCTTTGCATCAAGTCACAACACCCAACTCCGCCAATACTGGTCGTACGACTAGGATGGAGGGGCGATTAAATTTGACTGGAGCAAATACAATGCATGGACGAACCCACCATGGTGCCATATAAATAAGGTATTGCGTAAGGTGTTGGCGGACAAGGTGTCTGCGATAAAATATTTACCGTTGAACACACGTGCGCCCTGGTTCCCATTACTTCTGTCGATGATACAGCAGACCAGTTACTTATTTCGCGCACGGCTCAGACATTCTTGAAGCACGGCTCACAGGCTTATACCATCGGGGTACATATTGGCCCTCCATCCGGCTACAAAGTTAATCCATCGGTTTGATGTGACTTAGATCTGAAGGTACCTGTATGTGCATACGCTAGTACACGTTATCAAGAAGATTGGGCACAGCCGTCGATGACTAAACAGATGCGACAGATCGCCGCACATGTCCCTAAAATATGTGTGGGTGCTACAGTGATGAACCATCCACCTTCCAAATTCAAGCCCCATTTGAGCAAGAAGTATGGGATGTATCGAAAGCTGGCGGGTGGAGTGTACAAGCAAGCAGACTCCAATGGTCAAACAGATTTCCTACTAGAACTGATGGAGGTTATGGGTTTGATGTTTCAGCGTCTTAACGATGCCGAACATGGTGATGACAAGATGGCAGTAGTGGGCGAACGCGAATCAAGTTCCAATGGCAAAGGCGAATCAAGTTCTAATGACAAAGGCGAATCAAGTTACAATGGCAAAGGCGAATCAAGTTCTAATGGCAAAGGCGAATCAAGTTCCAATGGCAAAGGCGAATCAAGTTCCAATGGCAAAGGCGAATCAAGTTCTAATGGCAAAGGCGAATCAAGTTCTAATGGCAAAGGCGAATCAAGTTCCAATGGCAAAGGCGAATCAAGTTCCAATGGCAAAGGCGAATCAAGTTCCAATGGCAAAGGCGAATCAAGTTCCAATGGCAAAGGTGAATCAAGTTCCAATGGCAAATGCGAATCAAGTTCCAATGGCGAGGGATCTACAATAGATACATACAAAAATTTGTGGAACAGTTGTAAAATCAGCGGGTTCATATTATAAACGTATTTTCGTTAAAACGTAATGCCGTTATATAACCTGGTTTACGTTGAAACGCAATCGTAGATGTTTGTAACTGCAAATCAATCAAATAATCTAATTATAAATATATTGAAATTTCAGACAACAAACAAACAAACAAATAATCTACTTTGGGGTATTTGGAAATATAATTGTACACAACAGAGGTCGGAGACTCTGTTGATATTGATATGATGGTTTTTCTATAATGATATGTTTTCCATCATAATTTTGGGATATAAAAGTTGGGAGAGTCTCAGGTGAAATTGATACTTGATGACACTTGTTATATTACCGACTACTCTCAGAGCGAGATAGCCCACTGAGAAATGGGGCATGAAAATGATCCCCCCTAGCCAGCCAACTAGATGTGCCCGTCTATGCATGATGAAGAGCTAGGTACCATGTAATGGGATATAGGTGCAGATATTTTTCTGCATCAACATGGTGTTTTTAATATATTTTTAATTTTTCTTAAGCTGGACTTAGAGTTATTTTATTGGTAATTGCGATTGGGAGATTGTTTCGAAGCATGAAATGATATGGAATGAAATATCATGCTTCCAATGAAATGGATCTGATCTTAGTCAGTGACACTAAATTAATCTGGACCAAAGTAGTGAGTGATTACAGCGGAGCAAATATGTTGAGACGAATTATAAGACTCCAACCCTAAAAACCCTATAAGGCCCAAAATATATTACGGCTTATATTTTGGCCAAATAATTGTAATAATACCTTAAAAAGGTACATGGTAATTATCATACTATATAGCCAATATGTAATATGATAATAAACTTACTTCTTTAGCAAATATATGTTCCAACAGGTTATGGGCCTATATCGAATATATTTATTTTTATATACCCTATATACATCGCTTAGATTTCCACCCGAGCTTCTCCCTTCTGATCTCCCAAGCCTTGATCCTTTAATTGACATTCTGATCTCTGATCTCACCACCCGATCTTCTTATTGACATTCCGATCTCTGTTTCACTCTCGCTAGTCCCCTAATTCACTATCACCATGCGACCCCCTCACCCACGGGCCAAATCCCCACCACTACATTCTCCTCCTTCGATGGCGCCCAACGCTTCCAACGCGATTCTTCCCAACACTTCAGCCATACAGCAATATCTTCCACGCCAACAACCACATTCAACTTGTCCGCACCATCCTCTCTACCGTTCTTGACACCAACGACAACCCTCACGTCAACAACACCGCCATCTACTTAGGGGTATCACCGACCGCAACACCTACCACAAAGCCACCACCGATGCGCAATATGACCTCACCCGTATTCGACATGACCACGCCAGCCGAATCCGCTACACAAGCTGCATCCATTGCTACTCTTTTTGCTGACCTTGCTCGCATACGCCACGAACGACACACAATTCTCATTGAACGTATCACTGCCAATACCGCTCGCGATTTAGCCCGCGCTGACTGTGATCAACAATCTATAGAACAGACTTCACTCAACACTGATCTCGATCGCATCCGCAACGAACGATGCACACTTATCACCGAACGTGACCAGCTTACAACTGACATTCGCACTGAACGTGATCAGGCGCAATCCGCTTGTCATGCCATCGCTCTCGAACGCGACACCCTTCATCGCGATCTCACACACACACAAGACATCACCGCCAACGCAACCACAGAACGCACCGCCCTGCATAACGATCTCACACGCATCCGCCATGAGCGTGACACATACCTCGAGGAACGCGAAGAGGCCCTCGCTCCGAACTAATCCAAGCCCAAGAACAGTCTACTGCCTCCCCTGATACTCGTATTCAAGCCGCTCACACTGCCCTCCGCAAAGCACATGCCCTCGCTGAAGCCGACATTCAACGCTTGCGCACCGATCGCGACGCACACCGTGCAAACCTCATCCAGCAGCAGCACGAACACTCCCAACTCTTACAGGAGGCACTCGCAGAGAACGAAGACCTCGTCACTGCCGCCACTCAGCTTCACGACAAACTCACTCTCCTCCAGGCTGAGTTCGCTGCATCCGACTCCCACAGTCTCCGCCAACAACTCCAGGTTGCTCAGAGCAAGATTCGCAAGCTTGAACAACGCTCCCCATCCACCCCACTATTCACCCCACTTCGGTCTCACCCAGCTTCCCCACTCCTTGGCACTCCTGGCACTCCGGGCACTCCCCACCACGACTCCCATCAAATGCCCACCATCCCTGACAGTCGCGCCACCACTGGAAAACCTCTCAAATATTCGAGCAACTACCCGGCTACGAAGCTTACCGGGGACGACAACTTCACCAATTAGCATCGTCAACTCAAACACGCCCTTAAGTGTTAAACAAACTAGACTAGTTGTAAGAGTATATTTATTGATCTACTTTCGCATATATATATAATATTCTGTGTCATATTTGAACACTTACCTACGGCGGAGGTGTCATCAGTATTTGCTATTGACACCTATTTGACACTTCATATTTTGTAATATTCATCAGTACTGGAGTTGTCCTAACACTCCCCTAAATCCGGTACTTATGAATAGTGAGAAAACACAGCACTTCCTCAGTCTTCCCTTGGTTGTGTATCTATCACTACGCATGACCCTTAGCTATGACCACGGCGACACAGACAAGCTCCGTCCCAAATGCAGTGTCGGCATCCTCATCGCACATGACCCCTTCTCTACGCACGCCGACGAATATCGCATGCTTAACGTCGACACTGGGTACACAATGACCTCTCGGCATGTCCAATTCAACGAGGGCATATTCCCCTTATGGCACAACGTTGGCTCCAAGTCTAAGCCCTATTTTACGCCGGAACAGCTCTCCGTCATTGACACACATCGCGATACCATGCCTGTCATCTTGACCCCACCCCCCACCCTCACATCCCAGCCACCGTCTGAAACCTGTGACACTCCGGCTGACCCTTCGCCATGCTTTGTCGTCGAATCTACACCCCAGCCATGCTACTCCCCCAACCGCACAACTAACAATCCCTCTCACGACCTTCAGACCCTGCTCCGCACCGCTCGTGACCGTGTCGCCCACCCCCGCACCCAATCCTCTGACGACCGCCGTGCCCTCCAAGCTCGCGCGCGTACCGCCAACTTCCAAGTCCAGCAACAGGCCAAGCTTCTGTAAGCCTCTACTGCTCGCCAGGACCAAAACCGTATTATCAGCTCCCACAACGACAAGCTACAGCTTCACATCGCCAACCGTCCTCGAAACCGCGAGATTCGTAACCTTCTTCTCGACGATTCCATCGACACCACCCACATCTCTCACCTCCCGGGCCCTGACAAATACCGCGCTCACCTTACCCGCAAGCTCGCCTTACCCGCAACCTATGCGAGGCTGTGCAGAACCAACCCATCACCCCTACCTCTATCAAACAGGCCCTCAGCAGCGCGGAAGCCGATATCTGGCGAACAGCCATTGAGTCCGAGATGAGCAGCCTTCGCAAGACTGGCACTTTCACCCTCGGCGACTCGGCCGACCTTCCTGCTGACGTCCTCACTGTGACGTCTAAATGGGTTTTTAAAATCACGATGGTCAATGGCAATATCAACAAGTATTAAGCTCGTCTCGTTACACATGGCTTCACACAAACCAAGGATAACAACTTCACGGAAACATATGCACCCACCTACACCCATGAATCCTTCCGCACGCTCCTTGCTGTCGCTGCCAACAAGGACTGGCACACCGAGCAGATGGATACACGTCAACACCGCATTCCTTCACGCTGACCTTCACCATCCTATCTATATGAAACCACCCGCTGGCTCCGACCAATTAGGCGTCTCTAAAGCTACCACCCTTGAGCTCAAGAAATCGCTCTACGGTCTCAAACAATCCGACAAGCTTTGCTTTTTCCTCATTCAGTATAAGCTCATTCAATTCGGCTTCCATCAGGCTCATACAGACCGCTGCATGTTTACCATCTGCACACCCTCCTACAACTGCACCGTTTTGATCTACGTCGACGATCTCATTATCTGTGGTTTCAAAATAACTTCTTTCAAAATTCGACTGCTCGGTCCTTGGCGAACCCACCTGGCTCTTCGGCTGTCGCATCATCACTAACACTGAGTCCACCAGCATCGTCCAAACCTCGTACATTCATGAGGCCCTGGAACACTTCGACATCACTTCCGCTCCTCCGGTCAACACCCCCTTCCGACCACCTCTCTCGTTGAACACGACGGCCCTTCCTTTGACTGCCCATACCGCGAACTCGTCGGCATCATCCCCTACCTCTCTATCCTAACGCACATCGACATCACCTTCGCCGTCAACAATCTCTCACGCTTCCTTTCCAACCCTAGCAAAAATGACTGTCGCGCTGCTTGTCGCGTCCTCCGCTATATATGCGTACAGTAAGACGCCCCAGCAGCTCTCCACTGACGCTTATGCTGATTCCAACTACGCCAGCTGCCTCACTACCCGTCGCTCCACCACCGGTTACATCATTCGCGCATGTGGCACACCCGTGATTTGGAAAAGTAAGCGCCAAAAGACTGTCAGCACTAGCACTGCTAAACGCTAAACACATACAGTGGCTTCGCAACTTCTTAACTGAGCTTGGCTTCACCCCCGACGCTCCCACTGACCTCTATTGCGATAACCAATCCGCCGTACACGTCATCACCAACTCGGGCACCCCTAATCAGCTCAAGCACGTCGATATACACGTTCACCACATTCGTGACCTCCAAGACCAAAGTGTCATCGCTACCAAATATGTTAACACTGCCGATAACATCGCAGACACCTTGACGAAGAACCTTCCTCGACCTGCCCACTCTAAACATACATCTAACACACTCACCGCCATCCCCGATCCTGATCAACTGTCCCATGTTGCAGCACTAGCTCACACGTCCGACAACAACCATCCACACAATACCAACATACTGTATGCTACTTCCGCTATGTATCCTATCCTCCAACGTCGTTTATACCTTCAGGAGAGTTTCACCCGATCGATGTTCACCGCCATCCGCCCTGCCTTGATCCATCCACCTCCCTTCTGGCTCTATATGCTTTCATATCCATCTAGACACCTGCCCTACTTACTCTCGGACCCCTCCCAAACCCCCCCCAGTCGTAACTTTGCTACACCCACGTGTAAGATTCGGTCTATTAAGGCGATATTAACGCCTTAGAGTAAATAAACGCGTAGGTAAAAAATATCGAAGTAAATAAACGAAATGAGACATTTAGTAAAGTTAGGTATGCCTCGTAAAAACAGCAATACTCTGAGGGATTGTGAGGATGAGACATTGCCTATATATAATCCTCTCAGTACTGTTTCCGGCGAAGGGATCTTATTTAGTGTTTCGTTGTCGCTCTATTAGAAACTATGGTATGTTTCATTGGGACGATTCCGAGAGACTCATAAAAATCCTATCTTTAGAAAACAAAAGAAAAATACTCTTGATGTCCTTAGTTATTGTCTTAGCCAATAACTTGCCACTTATCAAGAATTACCGACTTAGCCTTCATCAGACTGGCACAACTGGTTGGCTGATCGGAGGATCAACTAGGTAACGTTAATAGTCCCTAGAAACCTATATTCGGCTGAGCCATCTCGCTACCGAAGTATTCAGATATAAATAAGTTAGAAAGTACATGTAGTTCTTTTAATAGAACTAGACCAACTCTTATGTTTGTTATTTTACTGAGGCCTTTTAATGGCCTCGTCCAAATATCTGATATGTAAAATGGAAAAGGTATTAATTAATAAAACCATAAAAACCTATTTAGGAAACTTAAGTTCCTCGTACTATTAAGAGTACATTTATAATTTACGTACTGCTTAAGAGTACGTTTATAAAATAGAGTCTAGTGTGGAGGCCCGGCTAATACACAGCCCCCACCCAGCTTTGAAACCCATGAGAAGCAAGTTGCTCACCCAAGCTGATTATGGGTCAAAAAGCGAGAAAGAAAAAACAGGTCGAAAACATTAAAGTGAATGTTTCTCAGGCGAAGAAGTTAAGCGTTCTCGGTTACCCTGTGAGTTTTGGACTTAGGTCCAGTAGGTCCGTGGTGGTCGACTGGACGTTTCTTACGCTTCAGTGTCTTAAACACATATGAAGGATGAGCATTAAAGCTCGGGATAAATGCTGTAGGCGGATAAGTTTTAACTTCCGTGCCTTCAGACAATGGAAACATGCTATCTTTTTCAGCTTGTGACTTATGCAGGCGTTTACGCCATTTTCGATTAAAGTCAGATGAGGGCGCGAGCGGTAGCTAAGCAGGTGGGGGCAAGAGCGGTGGAAAGGCAAATGGGGCCCAGAGCGGTAGCAAGACAGATGGGGCCCAGAGCGGTAGCAAGACAGACGAGGGCCAGAGCGGTAGCAAGGCAAATGGGGGCGAGAGCCGTGGCAAGGCAGATGGGGGCGAGAGCGGTAGCTAACAGTATTAATATTTATCATACGGTTAATCATGAGGAATCAGTTAGTTAGGTTGGAAAGCAGGCGTACAAGCATGCATTCAATTATTTGCCCGCATGCGCATGTGTGCAATTGTGTGCGGATACAAGCATACATTGATGTTACCAGTTACGGCCGCATTAATGCTCTCTTCTCTCCCGCCCCGTAAAGTGCTGTATGTAACCACAACCATTTCAGAAATATATCATTATTCGATAACAAAACATTAGACAGATTACTGACTCAAATACAGCTTAGTCCATAACATACCCCAGTTAACGGTTACGTATGCGATGTACAATATTGGAAAAAGAATAGTATTTATTTTGTGACCGTTATATTAAACTCGTGAATGCTCGTCTAAATGCACGTTAAATTTTTTATTCATTTATTACCTACTTCATTCCCGCCCTTTTTAACGGATCAATAAAAACATACTAGCTATTTATAGTTAGAAGTGTACGAGAGTGTTGGGCTTGGGGGGGGGCGAGAGTGGGGCGCATAATTTGTAGAGGACGAAAGCCGGGCGGGCGCATATCAGCGGGAGTCTTAGTTTGGCGCTTAGCGGAGGGAGTCTTAGTTGGGCGCATAACAGCCGGGCTTAAATGTTAGGCATAACAGCCGGAGTCTTAAGAGTTCCCACTTTATTATCTAAAAATCGATGACTATAGTATACAGTAAACAACCGATACTCCGACAGCTGTCTATCCGTCACGTTGGCGGCTGTTTCTGGCGCCAAATTTTAAGGTCATACTGGTATCATGACATGGTCATGAATGCTACCAGTCATACGTGAGATGGCCTATATTTGTAACTGTCTGTTTTGAAATAAATAATATTATCCTACATAGTACATAAAAGTTGAAACGTAAATCGATAATTTTGTTATATCGGATAACGTTTTCAGCTTTTAGACCATGCGCCGATAAACGTACAGCTCGGTACAAGGGTTCTCTACTAGAACCCTTGAGCCTGGGCTGTGCTGAAATCCGGGACTGGACAGTCGGACAGTGACGGTCTGACGGACGGTGAACACTGAACTAATCGTAGCCAATGAAAACAAATACTAGGCAGGATTTTTAAATGGGCGGGAAAATACGACACGTTATCGTTCAGTTCACTCTTCACTGTTCACAGAAACATGAATATGTGTTTATTTACTTCATAGTTCACGGTTCACACACAACTTTTTTAAATTTTTGTAGAAAAATATATGGTCGGGTTTTAAAAAAAATATTAATTTGGTTTTGATGTTTCTCACGCTGAAGAGGTACGCTTTAAAGTTGATCGTAAACGTTTATTGCCCTCGATTTAAAACCTTTAAAACGTTTATTCGGACAAAAGACTAGAAAATAATACCTACTTGGCAATCGAACGAACAATCTAAAGAGAAAACTACTGAAAACATCGCACCTCAGGGCACTGATTATGCACCCACAGTGACAACTATAGGGCCATAAACGTGTACGTATTCAAAGTATACAAGTTTCACCGCAGGACGTATTGAGGTAACGTATTCTATGTACATACATACAAATGAAGAATATCGATATATTTAGGGAGTTATCATCATATCTTGAGTTCTATAGGCTAACAGGATTTCTACCTCACTATACAGCACGTTATACGCGAGCGTGCTTCGTCACAAGTCTAGCACATAAGCAGACATACACATATAAACACATAGATCGCTCACAAATAGCGCCAATAAATTACGCCGAGTTCAAGATTCAGTTCGTACAAGCGCTATGGCATATCGAGGGTTGACATTCTTCGTATATTCTGATGATGCGGAACGCCACTGTATGTATCGTTCTTTGATTTTTATTATTTTAGCTCTTGTTGGATATTCGCTTAAAAAGGACATAAATGTTCACCGGCACTGGAGACCCATGCATCTTGCACTTCATGTAATAAGCTAACTATCTCCGTAAATTAGTTTCAAGCTTGTCTCAGTAATAATTAATTGAGCTAGAACTTAATTACAAAGTCACCTGACTACAAGTGCACAGAAGCAAATGTATTTGAAATAAGGTGTATATCGCCACTAGTTTGACAAGTAATAAATTAAGTTTGACTAGTAATAACTTAGTATCATACACAGGCATACATGCATCATCGTCAGTATGCCTATGATTGTATACAAACACTGAATATATATATATTCGTACACACACACACACACACACACACACACACACACACACACACACACACACACCACACACTATATATATATATATATTATATATATATACTATACTACTATATACTATTATACTACTACACTACTACAACTAACTAACACTAACTACTACTAACTA